GAAGTTAAACTAAATTAAGGGAAATGTACATATAGAATTTTATTTACTTGTGGATTTCTAAAAAAATAAATAATAAAATAAAAAAAAGCGCTGTTCACTTTAAAAGTTTATGTTAATTTATTTAGTTTTTATTCTTTGTAAAAATAATATCAATTTATCAAAATTTTACATATATACTCTTAATTTTATACTATATATATAATTTTACTTTTAAATTAACCCAAAATCAAAAGCTGATTATATTAAAAATGTATATAGCTAACTTGAAGCTGTTAGCACAGTACTTTGATTATTGTGGATGAGATCTGAGCACGCATTTTGGATGGCGAATCTAGTCGCAGTCGTAGTCGTAGTCGTAGTCGTGTAATTTCATTAATGCCCTTTAATATGGTGTGCGCAACGCTTCAATGAATTTCATTTCATTGGATATTGGGGCACTTTTATTCTTTCATTATGCCGATGGCTTCCATCGTCGGCAACCTTCAATTTCTTATTTTTTTCTGCTTTAAATTTTGTTTCTGTTTTTTGTTCGGTGTTGCCGTCACTTCTTTTTGATTGCCTTTTAGTACATTGAACATTTGGTATTTGCTATCTGCATGCTTCGTGGAGTGAATAGGGCGCAAGGGGGGAGCAAAAGAGAGGGGCGTGGAGCTTGCCGTTACTTCGATTTGTTTCTTATTTAAATTTTGTATTCGCTTCGAGCGACATAGTGGCAATGCCAGGGCGTGCGGCTGTTGGACAGGGCTGCATTAAGTGCTTTTGTGGGTGCAAACGCGAATTAATGCGAGCCAAAAAAAAATAAAAAATTGAAAAAAAAAAAAAGGAAATCGTTGCGGTTGCCAGCTGTAACGCGTTTAATTTATACGCTCGCCCTGCCAGCAGAACAAAATAAAGAATGGCAAAAAGAGCAGGAATAAAAATATATATTTATTTTACAGCTGCTTCAGCACTTAGAGATATGTATGTATGTAAGTGTATGGGTGTGGGTGTCTCTGTGGGTGTGTGTGTGTGTGTGCGTATGTTGAAGAGTGTTGCGGGCAATAAAAAGCAGCCAGCGAGTGGCATTCAACACCTTTTTCTATTTTGGCCAAAAAGCTTAATAAACAAACGGTCCAAATGGGGTGCGGATGCGGATGCGAATCCGAATCCGAATGCTGCTCGTGCTGGCAATTGGCGGTGACTCTGGGCCGAAACCAGCGCATAAACATTTAAGTCCACAATTTGCACAGCACCTAAAGAGGCAGAGCACACACACATACATACACTTACATACACACATACTGCACCACACACCCAACCGAATGCTAGACAAATGCAATTTTCACGTGCAACCACAACGAAATTTATGCCACACCAGTAACTACAGCTACAGCTAAAGCTACAGCAACAGCAGCAGCTGCTACTGGTGCTACTGCTACTGCGAATACTGTGAATACCTTAAAGCAGCTTTGAGGGTATTAACTGTTAAATCTGAATATAAAAGAGGGAACGTGAAACCTATAATCCTTATCAGCTTATGAAGTCATCAAGCTAACCAAACTTTCGTTCTTTGAAAATTCAAAGCAAATCGGTTTGCTTCAGAGCTAAATGTTGTACTTAATATTTTATATATTCCTATATCGTCTGACTCAAGCTTACGAAACCTTAAGATATTTTTTTTAGTAAATTTAAGTTAAACTACAAAATATGAATAAGGTATGGGAAAATAAGGAAAGTCTTAGCTATATTCAATATTTCACAAATACTCCACAAATATTATATTTGCATAAAATGTAGATATAAAATAAAAAAAATAGTAATGGAAAATAAAATATTAAAAGCTGCTACAAACCAAAGCAGAGACTGCAAATTGGCCATTGGCTATACGCGGCTATAGTTTCAAGTATTGGTCCGGATTCCTTTTGTTATACCATTTGTAAAGTATGTGAGGGTGTATGTATGTATGTGTGAGTGTGTGTCTGTATGTGTGCGAGCAGCATTGTAATGCAGCGCTATCACCTGGCGCTGCATTTGCTCAGTAGCCAGCTTATTTATTGCTGTTGAATTAAAATGAAAAACGTTTTGTGCTGGCCGAGACGCTGGGCTCAGTTCATGTTCATTTCGAATGGGGCCACATGATGACATAACCCAATGAGGAGCAAAGCGAGGCGCTTCCGCTTACTAACGACACTGAGCAGGTGGAATGGACCGGAATGGACTGGAGTGGAAGGGCATGGTTGGGGAGCACGATGGGTGACCACGGCTAGACGCACAGGCTGCTCAAGTAGTCATAAGCACGACTCATGGACAGCTGCAAGTGAGCTGACTTTGGGTTTCCGTTTCCGCTGCAATGTGTCGCCGCCATTATGCAAATGCCGGCAGAGCACCTGCCCAGCCCCAGCCCCAGCACCAGCCCCAGCCCAGCTGAGATCCTTGGCAGCCAGCACAGGTCCTCGGCTCATTGCAATCTGCATTTAAATGACCCACAAGCATTGTGGAGCGCGAACGCGCGCGCATTCACTGAGATTTTATCGAGCATCGTCTTGTCGCATCATTTGCAAAAATATTAAAGAAAATATATAGCTAGCACCTGGAATAATGCATAAGGCATAAAGCACCCCGAGGAGGCGACACAGCTAGCTGCGTGCCTGATGTCCTGAAATGAGATTTTTTGCATTTTTCTTGTCGTTTTTCTCATTTTTGGTTTCAAAGCGTAATTGAAATTCCTTTTAATGCTGTGATTCCTGTGGGCTTTGACCAGCCAGCCAGAACCAGTCAACTAATGATTCTTGGCTGCTTTGATTGATTGCCTTTTCAGATAAGAGGCTATCAACAAGCATTCCTAATAGATCGAATAGTCAATCAAAAATATTTAATATGCGCCGACAGCTGACACAAATTTAAAGCTAATCTATGCTGTGCACTCTGAACCGACAGACAATTCCGTGACAATGAAGTATTGAATCCGAAATGGAAGGCAGCATCTCCAGTATTTCTTTATTTATCCGATGCTACGGCAAAGCTGCTTTAGGTTGGATTTGAGAGAGCGAAGCACCCGACCAATGTTCAAATGTTGTGCTTTGTAACGAACGAAAAGTGTAGACTCCTAAAGCGATAGATAGAGGGGTATTAATAGTCGGGCCTTGGTAGCAGCACCTTCAAAAAAATTATGTGTTGAGCCACTTCAATCGTTTCCAATGCGAGATATTATAGGGAATATATTCCGCATGCTGCTTAAAAACAATGACTAGGCTAGGTTGCAGGCGATGAGTGTTTCAACAAGACTCGACTGTCACCCGCAAAGCTAGAGCGAACGAAGAATGCTTGCAAAACAGCATTCCAAAGTTTATTTCAAACAAACAATGGTTCTTGAATTCACTAGACGGGAAAGGTTAGATTTTTATCTCCTCGTGAAGTCCAAAAAAAAAAAAAAAAAAA